TGGGGGAGCGGGGCTGGGGGGAGCCTGGTGAGTGCGGGGCCGGGGGGACCCTGGTGAGCGCGGCCCGGGGGTAGCAGGGCCGCGGGTGTCGGGAGGGGAGCCGGGGAGGCCGGGCTGCGGGCGGGCCAGGCGCGTTCAGGCCTCCCTCTCTCCCTGAGCGCGGCCGGTGAGGTGCGGGCAAAGGCGCAGCGGGGTCTGGAGGCCTGAGCGGGCGGCGGCTCGTCCGAAAGGCGGGGATGGGGAAGGCGCCGAGGGCAGGGGCGAGAAGGCGGCAGGAAAAGAGGACGGGAAAGGGGCCGGGGGCTGCCGGTGTCCCGCCGTGCCCCGCCTGCCCAGCGTTTGCCGCAGAACCGGTCGGGCTGTGCCCTGTTCGCCTTCACCCGCGGGCACCCCAGAGCCTTGGGGAGGCTTCAGCCCGGTGAAACCCGATCCCTGAGCAGCCTCGGTGTGTGTCCGGGCCGGGGATGTCCGTGCAGCTCCCCGGGGCTGTCAATGTTAAATGTTAATGTTAATTAAATGTAAATGTTCATATTAATTTCAAATGCGGGCACTCGGGGGTGGTGCGGCTGTGCAGCCCTCAGGCATCACCTCCCCTAAAACACGGCTTTTTATTTGTTTCAGTTGCTGCCGTGGCAGAGCACAGAGGGGGGGTTCTGGGCTGGCAGGGGACAGGCTCACACACACCTGCTCAGCTCTTGAGGCCATCCCTGCTCACATGGGGCAGTGACAGCTGGCCCTGCTGCACAACCTTTTCTTCCTTGTATCCCTGAATTCTGAGCAGCTCTGCCCATCACCAGCCCATCTGAAGTGCACACGAGCATGTTTGTGTTTGCTCCTAAAGGTTTGTGCCCATTCAGTTCCCAGGTCTGGCAGATGTGTCCATATCCCAGGATATTCCAGTGGAAGGGGAGATCACTGTCCCTGTGGGATCTCACTCTCCTGATGAGGATTACTCCACGCTGGATGAGCCAGTCAAGGACACAATTGTGAGTCTGAGCCTGTGGCTGGGGTAAAACTCAGGTTTTCTGGTGTTTTTGGCAGCTGTTGTGCAAAACCTGTGTTTTTGCACAGCACTACTCAACCTGTACTTCAGCGGGGATTGTTTTAGAGCTCATCATGTAAAACAAATTCCTGTGGGTCAAAAAAGTGTCTGAGTTGTGGCCCAAAGTTTCTCTGTGATCCTGAAATCAGTGTGAGGGCAGAGGCCTCAGTGGGAGCTTGTGACAAACTCCACTGACTGAAGGTATTTTTCATTTATTTTCTTTTCCTAGAGGGGCAAACAAATTGTTGGTTATATTCTGGTGTTTTTAAAAGATAGAATATTGTGGTTGTTAAAGAGAAGGATGTGTTGCTGATGTTGTTAAGGACTGTAGGAAAAGCAGTCATTGTTTGTTGCAGAGGGTGCCACAGAACTTGTTGGGTTGGATCCTCTCCTGATTTGCCATTCACGTTCCTTTACTTCTGTCTCTTTGCTTTAGCTGGGAGCTGTAATTGCTGTGAGGGAATAAATGAAAGTGTTTTGTTTTTGTTTCAGATGAGGGACCTGAAGGCCGTTGGGAAGAAGTTTGTCCATGTCATGTATCCCAGGAAGAGCAGTGCCCTCCTCAGGGACTGTACGTGCTGGGGCCCTCCTGACCTGCAGGGGAGAGGCAGAACCCAGGGGAAGGGGGTTCAGGGGGGCTGAACATCCTGGGCAGCAGAGCTGACAGCTGGGCTCTCACCAGGGCTCTGTGGGCCAGGATGGGTGGAACTGGGAGCTGGAGCAGCTGCTGGGTCTTGAGTGAATTTTATTATAGATCTTGGGGTAAGATGCTAAATAAGAGAATTGTAAAGCACTGAGATGTGGAAAATGGCGCCTTGGGAGCTGGGCACTCCCGAGGAAAGCAGAACTGAGATGGTTTTGTGACTTCTGTGATGTGTTTTCCCTCTCTCTGCAGGGGATCTGTGGGGCCCATTGGTGCTGTGTGTCTCCCTTGCTCTGTGAGTATTCCAAGGGAATTTGGGGTTTTGTAGCCTGGTGCATGAAATGGGGAAATGAAACATTAAAAATTACTGATTAATGTGTTAAGATTAATTTCATCTGATCCTTCTCTGTATTGTGCAAGCACTGCTTGGTTGGGTTCTCTGATAAAATGTGTTTGTGACACTTCAAGCCCGTTAGCACTTCCTGTCCCTAAATTTAGGATTTAAGGATGAACTCTTCCTGGTCCCCTGGCGTAGGAATGGTTTTACTGAAGGTGTCTTGAGGTGTCCTGATTCAGCTGTGGTGCCTGAATCCCATAGTTTTTCCAGGGTTTCTCTGAGGCTGGTTTGTTCAAACACACACTACTCTGCTGCCTTGGGAGGTACCAAAACTTTGGTACTTTAATTTCCATCTCAGCCTGTTATCCATGGCTTGATTCCTTTCTGAATGCTTTTGCAGCCCTGAAAACAGAGAAACAAATGGACTGAGATCACCTCAGCTAAGTCACCACCATTTTCCTTTCCTGTGCAAAACTGAGGATATAATGAAAATATAAAATGGATGAAAAACTATGGGCCTGCAGCATAACTGGGGATCAGTGCTGGGGCTCCTGCTCTGGCACCTGCTCCTGTTTGGGAAAACTCCAGCAGTGCTGACGCCTCCATCTGTCTGTTCCCCAGTGCAGCTCTTTCTCCCTGTTCCCCACTCCAGGATGCTGCAGGGTGGCTCTGCAGACAGCAAGGATGACGGGGGGCCCCAGTTTGCCGAGGTGTTTGTCATCATCTGGTTTGGGGCCGTTGTCATCACGCTCAACTCGAAGCTTCTGGGAGGCACCATGTGAGTGCGGGGCTGTTCCGTGGAGGTTCCCTCCCTCCTGAGCACGGAGTTCTGCCCTGCCTGGCCTCACTGCTGTCTCCCTGCTGCTGTCTCCCTGTGCAGCTCCTTCTTCCAGAGCCTGTGTGTGCTGGGGTACTGCGTGATGCCGCTGACCGTGGCCATGCTGGTGTGCAGGCTGGTGCTGCTGGCGGGCGCGGGCACCGTCAGCTTCATTATCCGCCTCATCGTGGTGGGGGCCATGTTCGCCTGGTCCACCTTGGGTGAGTCCCCCCCTGTGCCCGGGGAGTTGATCCCTGTGCATTCCCTCAGGCAGAGCCAGGGGGTGCTCTGGTCTAAGGTGGCCTTGGGCTGCTGAAGGGCTGTAGAAGGAGTTCTTCCAATCCTTGAGCTGGCAGAGCTTCAGCCTCTGCCTCTGCTCCTGGTGATTTCCATGCTCATGTGCAAATTGCCTTGGGAGCAGAATGATGATTTAGTATTAAACTCAGTGAGACTGTTTGGTGGTTTATTCTATGGTTATGTTATAAATACTATTAGAAAATGCTGATTTTATAGAGATGCGTTTGCACGATTTCTCCTGTTCTTTATCTGCAAGTCTGGCTCTCACTGTGCAGTGTTAATCAGCATTTATGGCCAGGCTGTGGGGCTTGGAGCAGCCTGGGCTGGTGGAAGGTGTCCCTGCCTGTGGCAGGGGGTGGAACTGGATATCCCTTCCAAGCCAAACCATGCTGTGATTCCATGATTCTGTAACTTATCCTGCTGTGTGATAGAGGAAGTTTGAGCAGTGGTTTTATTTTCAACACAGCTGCAGTGCAGATCCTCACTGTGAGGGGGCTGTGAGGGTTGTGCTGCTCCTGCCTCACGGGTTTTGTGTCTCTGCAGCATCCACGGCGTTCCTGGCAGACAGCCAGCCCCCCAACCGCAAGGCCCTCGTCGTGTACCCCATCTTCCTCTTCTACTTCGTCATCAGCTGGATGATCCTGACCTTCACCCCCCAGTGAGCACCATCCTGAGGGACTGCTACACTGACTGGACTTTCTCATGGACGCTGCAGTGAATCCTTGGCTTTATCTCTTTCTAATTTATATATAGGGATACTGTAAAAAGGCAGGTTGTGGGATAAAGCCAGAGAGCTGCAAAAAGTGCTCATTTGTGTGTCCCTCTTTGTGAAAGATACTGAAGTCCAGCTGCTGAGGGGTTTATTTAGCCCTGTTCTGTACTGGTGTTAAATAAACAATGCCCACGGGGACAGGGATTGTTCCAGCTGAGGAGAGAGTGGGAAATCCTGGAATTTCAAGCTGCTGGGAGATGAAGTTTTTTGCACGACTTGGCAGATTTCCTGCCTGTGCTTGGATTCTCACTGAAGATAAAAATGCCTTATCAAACCATAGAACTTCACTGCAATGATGTGTGGAGAGGAAAGAGACATGTCTGACTCCTTTTCATTCCCTTGTAGAGTGGTGGGATGTGCTCCCCGGGCATTGTGGGACTGGGGCTTTCCCAGGAAAGGAGAGTTCAGTCAAAACTCAGTCGGGTCTCTTTGCAGGGAATTGGAGCTGGTGGCAGGGAGTGCTTGTGCTCTGTGTCCATCCCTTCATGTGGCAGCAAAGAAGGTTCCAGCTTGGTGCCTTCAGCACTGCCTCTGAGGGGACTGTGGGCTCTCTGCAAGTTGCAGACCTGTGACCAGAGGGAACAAAGTTCAGAGTCCTGCAGAAATGCTGAGACTGCTTAGTAGCAAAGACTGGGCTCTCACCCTGCATTTGGGAAGTGAAAATTCCTTGGAAAGTACCAAGAATGTGTATGTATGATAAAAACAAGGGGTTCTGTGCAGAAAGTTGAGGTTTTGCTGCACAGACTGTTTGGGTCTGAAAAACCATACCAGGGCTTGGGCCCCAAAGTGTTAAAATAGCTTGAAAGAAGGGAAGCAAATGGTACTAGAGGTGTTGCTCTGGAAAGAAGGGAAGCAAATGGTACTAGAGGTGTTGGTCGCTCTAAAGCAGGATGTGAGTTCTGCTCTCACCTGCCTCTGTGTGACTGTTCCTTTGGTTGTTCATGGGAGCAGCAAAGAATGGTGTGCAAATGTGCATTTTGTTCCCTTGTACTTCCCGTGAGATGTCAGACACTGTTCTGTGGGTTGTTTTGTGGGGTTTTAATTTTGCTTAATACTTTAATAAAAGGGAGGGGCTCTACCAATCACTGCAGATTCATTGTACACATCTCTTGGGTACAGATGTGCAAGAGCCAGGTGTATTTTGTCACAGACATTGGGAGCTGGGACTTGCTTTTGGAAACTACAGAAATGATTCCTGTTGTTTGTTCTCATTCAGCAATCCATGAAATATCTGGGGTGAAAATGCTGCTGTAAAATGACATTTATGCAGACAGACTGAAACTGAGGTCTGTGGGTTCTGCTGAGGTGTGAATGTGCCTAATTTCTAGTTACATGTGCAAGAGCAGTCTATGCTGTAAACACGGGCAGTGGGTGGGAGTTGGGATGGAAATTGCTGAATTTCAGATTAAAAGTGCATTTTTGCATTTGTGGATAACAAGCTGCTGTGTGTGGCAGGGCCTGGCTGTGGCACCAGGGGGCTGGAGGGGAGCTGTGGTGGTTGGCAGACATGGGAACCATGGAAAGGAGAATTTTTAAGCTTCCATTAAATTATTGCTGGTATGGAGTGTGGTTTTTCTTTTAAGTGTGCAGTTTTTGTTCAATTAAATGTTAGTTCAGCTTTTTGAAGCTGAAAAGAAGTATTCAAAGGAAATGGATGATAATGCTGTTGATGGCTATGGTGGGATTCCTTGAGCCAAATCTTTCTGTCCTACAAAAATTTAACCACACTTTCAAAGAAATCCTTGGATTCTCTCTGAGTCTTGTGACTTGAGTTGGTGTTCTATCTCAAGGATAATTGGAGTAGCATGTAATTGATCCAGTAATATTTTGAAATTTTTTACATTACTTCAGAAAGTCAAAAATCCCAAACTGGAGTTTGTTCCTCAGCCACCCTGGAGGTCCTGCAGAGTCCCTGCTGTGACAGACCCACATGGGCACATTAAACACAAGCAAACCGTTTTGGTTCAGGGAAACAAAATGCCTCGAGCTTGTCTGATATTTGCAGATGCTGGAATTAATGCAGCTGATTGATTAATGCAGCACTTTAAAGTGCTGGTGTCACCTTTGAGTGCTCAGTGCTCCCTGAATGTCCCTCATGCTGTCCAGCCAGGTGGGCAGCACATCCTCCCAAGGGCCCTGCAGGGGAGTGATCCCTGTCACCACAAGAGAGGTTTAATTTGTGCTGGAAATGTCTGTGGTAAGAACTGTTGTGCTTTCCAAGGGGAAAGGCTTTTCCTTCTTGTTTAAAGCTGCTGGGGATGGGCGACAAGGAGAAGCAGCTGTGTTGCCTATAATGGAGTGTTTGAACTGCTCTGCACAGAAATGGCTGATTTCCAATGCACAAACCAGGCTTTCTTTCCTACTAGGATTTTTTTAATACTGTTTATCAGCAGAAGTTGTTATATGTATGTTTAATTTTGATCTATTTAATACCAATAAAAAGGAAAATAATTTATTTACTTTAACTTGAAAAATTCGAACAGGCTGAAAGTCACGTGGGCAGTGTGAGGTGTGGATGGGAGCTCTGTGCTCTCTGTACCTGTGGCACCTGCAGTACCAGGAGCTGGGGCAGGAGGGGGACAGTCCCCACCCTCGTGTCCCCTGGCCCCACACGGAGAGCAGGAGACACGGGCCACACGTGCCAGAGCCCCTGAGGCTGAGCCAGGACATCGCCCTGCCCAGGCTGGGTCCTGCTGGTGCTCACACACAGCTCAGGGAAGGAGAATGGTGCTGCTGTACCCCAAAATCGGGGTTCCAGTGGCTTCAGGGCTGGGAGCACCCAGGAGACCTGCGTGTGCCTCAGTGGTGCTGCCCAGGGACCACTGGGTATTGCATTTGGGGCGTTCCCTGACGAAGGAAGGAATGACGAATCTGACTCCATGTTCTCAAAAGGCTAATTTATTATTTCATGATACTATAGTATATTAAAGAATACCATACTATACTAAAGAATACAGAAAGGATACCTACAGAAATTTAAAAAGATACTAATAAAAACTCATGACTCTTTCCAGAGCCTCGCCACAGCTTGACCCTGATTGGGCATTGAGTCAAAACAATTCACATGAAACAACCACCTGTTGGTAAACAATGTCCAAACACATTCCAAAGCAGCAAGACACATGAGAAGCAAACCGGAAAATTATTTTCCTTTTTTTCTGAGGCTTCTCAGGAGAAGAATCCTGGGCAAAGGGATTTTTCCAGAAAATATGACTGTGACCACCGGGGGCTGAACGAGCCGGGGGCGATGGGGGAGCAGAAACCTGGCAGGAGGGGCCCTGATGGATCAATGGATATTAAGGCACATCCCTGACTGTCTAATGAACCAATGGCAATTAAACCCATCCCTGAGCCACGCCAGGATTTGAGGCAGCGCCCAGGGGTTTGTCCATGCTCTCGCTGACAATGAGGACATCCATGACACGACCCCGGCCAGGGAGCCTTGGCCCGGAGCCGGTGGCAGCAGGGACACCGAGCCCTGTGCCGGGCGTGGGCTGCGGGGCTGGGGACAGCCACCGTGGCAGCGGTCACCAGAGGGCGGCAGGACCGCGCTGTCCCCGGCAGCCTTCTGCAGGGACACCTTCTTGCTTGTCACCTCCGCGTGGTGTCCGCGTCCCCGGAGCTCCGGGGAGCACAGCCGGGGTGCTGGTCCCGCAGGCAGCCCCGGCAGTGACCTGTGGGCTGCCAGCCCCAGCCACAGCTCGGTGTGCCGCACCTGGCCCTGCTGCGGGCTCTCTGCCTGCTCGGTGATGGGCAATAAAACACTTTCATTCAACAAAGGGTGTTGTTTATGTTTTTTGGGGTTTTTTTTATTATTTTTTTTTTTTAAGGCAAATTACCAGTCCTGGAAATGTACCTGTTCAACTCAAAAGAGGTATTCCCAAGTGCAGCTCTGGGCTTTGTAGCTACATTTTTTTTTGGATAAAGCTCGAATTTAGCATCTTTCTCCCCTAAGTGAATATTTTAAGGCAAATATTCTGCCTTAAGTTGTACCCCAGGGCAAACGAATGGGGCAGGTGACAGTGGAAGGATGGATTTGCACATAAAATCAGGAAGTAACGCACAGAGTGCAGCTGTTGACAGCTGGGACTGTGAACCTGATTCCCGACCTTTGGCTTTCCTGGCAGGGGAAGCAGGTGACATGGCTGCAGGAGCTGCAGGTCAGGCTGGAGGCTGCTGAATCTCCACACTGCAGGTATTCAATGCAAGGGCGGCGGCAGGTGGGATGGGACAGGCTGTGCCCAGCACAGAGGGTCCCTCAGTGGAGATGGGGGGAGCATCACCGAGGGCAGGAGTGACAGCCCAGCACGGGGGCAGCTGCTGGGACAGACACAAGGGTCACTGCACTGCTCTGCTGTCACCTTGTCACGGGGCAATGCCTGTGCTGGGGGCTCAGGGAGTCTGGGAGACAAGAGTGAAGGTTTGCCCTATTTATTCTGAATCCTAGTTGGAATAAAAACCAATAATAAGTGCACTTCCTGATGCAGGAAGGACAGGTTTGGTGTTTCTGCCCTGGTTGTCCTCTCTGAACCTTGTCCCCTCTGCCCACGTTTCAGGGAAGGGAACAGGGCAAGTTTTCTGAGTGCCACGGCTTTCCCATGCCTGGTACTTGTCATATCTGTGCCCTGAGCCCTCTGTGTCTGAGCAGCTGCTGCTCATGCTGCTGATGGAAGCAAGAGAGCATTGTCAGAGCCTTGGGGACAGTGGGCACGTGGACAGGCAGGGTCCTCCCACCTGGGAACTCTGTTCCTCCTCACTGTGCCCAGGTGGGAGGAGATGGAGCGATTCTCTGCCTCAGCCAAACTTCCCCTGCCTGTGCAGAAGTCTTGGCCCAGCTCCTCCCAGGAGCCTGAAGCACACCTCAGCCAGCCTGAAATCCATCCCAGTGAGCCCCTCCAAACCCCCACTCTTCCCCCAGTGCTGCATTGCCAGCAAAAGGGCATGATGGGAAGCACACCCTCCTCTGAAAGTATAGAGGGAGTTTGCTATTTTAAGAGAGAAATGAGGAGTACAAACCCAGCTGGTCCCCAGTGCTGCATTGCCAGCAAAAGGGCATGATGGGAAGCACACCCTCCTCTGAAAGTATAGAGGGAGTTTGCTATTTTAAGAGAAATGAAGAATACAAACCCAGCTGGTTGAGTTGTAACTGTGGGTCTGCATGCTCTGGTGAGGAGAGCACGGAGGTTCCAGAGTGAGGGCCATAACACCCCTTTCTAATCAAATGGAATGGAAAGGAAAATGAGGAAAAGCAAAATTTAAAAAAAGCAAATGAGGAAAAGCAAAATAGTGTCCTGTGTGGTTCTTGCTAATGAGTTATGGTTTTGCATTGCCAGGTTTGCCAGTGGCAGCGAGGGCTCCATTCACAGACGATGGAGCCAAGGAGTGCTGAGCACCAAGCAAAGCCACCGGTGTCCCCAGGCCAGCAGCATGAGCCCCTGACCCCATGCTCTCCCTCATCAGCTGAAGATGAGGAAGGTGTCCGTGGCTTCCTCTGTCCGAGGAGCAGCAAGTGCAGTGCTGAGGATGAGCCTGGTTATGAGCTGATCCGTGACATATCCTTGCTGTCCCTCTGGGGATCTTTTCCCAGGAGAACCAGGAGGCACCGATCAAGATTTACCGGCCTCCCACAGGGGCCTGCAGGGCACAGAGGGGATGCTACAGGCCACAATAAATTTTTCAGCAGCAGTGAAGTGTTGGCCTTTGATGAACATTCCCACACAAAGCCTGGGCACATGCTCAGGCACAACAAAACAGAGCAAGTGGGGCTGCTCAGGGCAAACCTGGGGAGAGCCCACAATGCCCTGGATTGCAAGGAAGATGATGTTAATGCCTTCTCTGTGTCTCCTGGGGAAGTGAAGACATGTCCTGGGCATCTGGTAAGTGTTCCACATGGTGCCTGTTCCTGTGCCCCGTCCCCTGCTCCCTAGAGGTGCCCAGCTGGTCCTGAGGTTGGGATGCTCTGGCAGACATGGATGCTTTGTCTTCTCTTTTCCTCCTAACTCCTGCTTTAGGCTGCTGATGTGCAGTTCAAATCCAGTGTGTTAAGTTGCCTCTGTATCCTTTAACAGTTGGTCTTACTACCCTGAGGGGCTTCTACCCAAATGGGAGCTGGATTTCTGCTCGTCCTGGGGTGGTGCCCAAGCAGAGCAGGGAGTGTGCCAGGGGTTCGGGGCAGATGTGCTCCCCCAAGGCCCTGCAGGGAGGAGAAGCCTCCCTGGCCAGGGGAACTGGCACTGGCTGTTTGGTCTGGGCACTGTGGGCCCAGAGGCTCCTGGCTGGGCTCCCTCCCTGCAGTGCCTGTGCTCCTTGAGCAGCCTGTTTGGCTGTCAGGTCCCAGTGACATCTCTGCACCCCTTTGAGTCCCCGTGCTTACAACAAACTCACGTGAGCATAGTGGCCCTCAGGACATCTGGTCCTGGTTATTTGGGTTGCAGAGAGCTCCAGGCTCCAGGGCCCTGGAGCAGAGCAGCTGTGGGGGCCAGTGGAGCCATTGGAGCAGCCTTGTCCCCATGGCTGTTCTCCTTCCCCATCCCTCTCTCTGCTCTCGTGCTTCCCACAGCTGCTGCTGC